GCCATCGTTGATGATGCGCTCATATTTTAGTGTTTTTATTTGGTGACGGCGCTGCTCACGCTCCTGGTGAATCTGGGCTTGCTTTGCGCGGATAAATGACTTCTTGTCGACATTGGGGTGTACTTCGATGTCGCTGTCGTCGGAGAGCTCGAGGGCGTCCTTTGCGAAGAGTTAGAGGCTATCGCAACGACACGAGAACCACATGGCACTTACCCACTTGCTGTAGTTGATCACCATGGCGGACAGTATCTGTGTCGGCTGTTACAGTGCTGTATTTGTTGTTGCGATTCGACGCTGGACTTTGTTTGGGATTGCGGGGTGGTTGAAGTGGGATGTCGCGTTTGGGCCATAGCTCGTCATCGAGAATGTTCGACAGATTTCACCCTCATTCCATCTTCTCCAGTCGCACGCGTTGGGAGGATTATGTAACTTCGTAAGCAATGAAGTCTCACAGTATTCCGATATGCTTTGTTTACTTGCAAAGACCCTCGAGAAAATAACTCGCCAAGTTGGATATCCTTATTCTACTAGATGAGAAGATAGCACCAAACATTTCAGAACATGTAAAGAGATTTTGTGTTTCATCGCACTGAGCTTCAGACATAAAAAAAATAAGTCTGCTGAACCTTCTCACATTGTCCCATGTAACAAAACTCCCTGCAAACCATTCATCCATCCCATAGCCCCCTTCATCATTCTCACCCCCCAGCAACCACGGCCAAGCCTTCGTAAATCTGTCTCCTAACCCGCGAAAATGTCGCCGCATCGTTGGTCCTTGGATCAAAATTTCCATATGCGCCACCATCAATCTCAATTTGACCCGTGGCCGTCTTCCTGACCGCTACAGTGCCATTGACAACCAGTATACCCTCGCCACGGAACTCGGCTTGCATACCATTTGCATTCATGAGCTTTCTGAGATCGGCAAGACGCAGGTCGCCCACATGGAAAGGTTGAGCGACGGAACGAACTGCCGTCGCCATGTTGGCAGGGACAACGTCGAGGACAGGCGTGTCGTTATTGTTATCGCTCGAGACAGGGATAGCGGGAGCATCAACACGGGCCTTCTTCTTCGCAGGTGTGTCGGCTTCTTCTTTCATTTCAGGTTCCAGGCTGGCAGCTGCAAGACGGCCCGTGATGGCCACGACGCCCATGCCACGGACATTCTGCCAACGTAGGTTGCGCACCATACTTCGACTGAGCTTAACACTCCATGCATTAGTGTCGACACTGGCGTCAATTACCATGCCCACAGTGGGTGTGAAGACGCTGACGGCGCTGGCGGAATCAGTGTTGGCATTTAGCGCTATGCGGCTGATTTCTGCAAGTTCAAGGGTTTCGCCTTGCTCTCCGCCAACAAAAATCAACTTTCGCGGTTTGATCAGGGGAATCAGCTGCTGGATCGTGCGACGGTCATGTAGACCCGAGAAATCGACAAAAGCTATCCGACACTGGATCTGGAGCGCTTCAGACTCGATAATGACCTTGGAAGGACCTTCCACCTTGTCGGGGTCTTCCTCTGGCTCGCTATCCGACTCTTCGTCTTCGCCCTCCCGGCCTTCCCTTTCTTTCCGCCGTTTTTGTTGCGCAGTTGCCTTGACATTGTCAACGTTGTTGGCTAGGTCATCCCATCTCCTCTTTTGACCAACAGCATTTTCCTTCTTTGCATCCTCGCCACGGAGTGCCTCCCCGGCTGTGTTGTCCTCCTCTTCGGCACGCGCAAAGTCTTCTGGCCGGATGAGGTCGCCAAAGTCATCCGTCCGGCGCTTCTTCGCCTGGAACGGAAACATTCTCTCTTTGCCTTTCTTGCCCTGCACTTCGTAGTCGTAGACATTTTTGCGGCGGACGAGTACATTGACGCCAAGCTCAGCATCTGTCATACCGAGCTTGTTGCGTGCATGTTGCAGAGCAACAGTCGCATTCAAGGCTTTTCCTCGATACCCATCCCCAGAGCCCTCTGAACTTTCTGATTCAGTCGATGATCGATCATCCACCACGTCCGCGGATGTTTCCAGCAAAGCTGCGTTGTCTCCACCCATTGTAGTTTGTCGCTGCCTTTGACTAGCCAAAAATTGCTGATAAAGTGGGACCTCATCACCCTCTAATGCGGCCGCCCGTACGGTCTTCCATGGAATTTGATCACCCGAAGCATTGATCACGACGGTAGAAGGTGCATCTTGTCCTGGTGACGTGTTACGCTGATTCCACAGGTCCCAGAGATATCTGCCTAGCCCCTTTCTCTGTGCACCCAATTCACCTGATCTTTCGGTAAGGATGACGAGATTCTTCTCATCAGAGGCCAAACTTCGCAGGGCATCTTTGGAGAATCCCCACTCGAGTGTGGTGTCGCTTGCCAGAATCACGCGGGGTCCATCGGCAGCAAGCATACGAGCTACGCGTGTCTTGCGCTCCAGTAGTGTGATGTGCCTGAAATCGAATGGAATCTTGGCCCTGTCCTCATCCTTTCCGCCTTTATTCCTCCGATCCTGATCTGCTGCGCTTGCTTCGAATTCTTTGACAATGCCTTCCTCCATCCACTCCAACATACTCCGTACATAACGCATCGTTGCACCTGCTGTCCGGCTCGCAAGATATATCTTCGCGTTGGTTAGAGGAATATTACTGCCCTCTGCTGTTTCGCGGTGCCAAGTTTCTTCGAGAAGATATGCAAGCTCAAGAACACGGGCACTAGAATCTGAGGGAATCAAGACGGTTCCACCATTGGCCACTGTCTCCCGTATCATTTCAATCAATGCCTCGTCTCGTTTGCTTGGTGGCTTGGCGACTTTGACCATGTCGGTATTCCTACTACTGCAGATCAAAGCAGTTGGACGACGCAGCTGTTCCAAAACTTCCGAACCACCAGTGCCAGGACCTCCGAGCCATGCAGCTCCGGAGAGAACATGCTCTCTCGCCTGGTTCCAGTCGACGGCATATACGACAGACTCCATGCCATGTTGAATGTGCCATATCGAGCCTCCCAGTGTATGTCCAGCGCTGTATGCAGTAATGGTAAGACCGTTCAGTGGCGGCGAGTGAGGCGACGGAATAGGCTGGTGTGGCTGCGAGTATCGTAATGGGTTGATCCTGGCAAAGTAATCGGCGATCTCTTGAGCGGTCGGCGCCTGAAGAAGGATATTGGGGTTCTTTCCACCCTTGAGTGCCGAGGAGAAAGAGTATGCCGACTCATTGAGGGCTTCAGTGGGGATGATTGACGAGGCAAGAGGCGTTGATTCGTAGAGGTCCTGGAGGAGCGTTCGACCGAGTGATATGACGGGATTTGTTGCGTAGACAGGTATTCGCGTGAACAAGGGGAAGTTCTTACAACAGTGTACGTAGGCGCCGAGATGCGCAGTGGTCGCGTGAGTGAGGAGGATAAAGGAGAGTGTGGGAACATGTCTGGAGCATCGGGGTTAGTCGACCTGTATGTATATCGTGTGTATCTCTATGGTGCAGTCCCCCGGGCGCATGTGCAGCTCGATTTGGGAGGCATAAACACTATCTGCACTGACTCGACCATGCGCTCAGAAACCTACCTCTCGATTTCCTTCAGCTGCTCTACGCTAAAGTCCTCGTCCCAACCAACATCTATGAGGATCTGAATGCCACCGTCGAACTCTAGCAATGACTGTGATGCTGGCGACGAGCTTTGCGCGCCCAGCAGGGGAGTGAAATTAAACATGCCGGCCGTCGCTAATATTTTGGTTATATGCGACTCTTAGTCTCCAAGCGCATAGTGGTAGGGCTCGGGCTGGATTCACGAGTCGACACTGTTCCTTGATGAATCTGTATGTAGTAATCGGTGAGGAATGCCCGCAACGCGTCAGAGCGCGACTGCGCCCGGCGAAAGGTTTATCCGCCGCCCGAACACGCAGATCGTCCGTCCAAGAGGGTTGGTTGTACAGCATCAAAGCCATGGCGCTGGTTCACGGCATTTGGCCACGGCTCGACTAATATCAACAGATATGGCATTGCGATTGCGGAAACAAATAGAAATCATAGCACAAGACGCAACAACATGGCTTGCAGGAGGCTTCAGACATGTAAAATCAAGAGGACAATGGAATCGAAGCCGACTAATGCAATTGGCCGCAGCGCATCTCATTCGGCGCTTCCTGATTGCGCCGGCGAGGAGCTTCCACGGATAGAGCCGCTTGGTTGCAAGTGCAAGAGTCATGGCTGCATCTTGGGTTCCTTGTGTGGAGAAGAATGCCACTGGCAAAGGCCATGTTTCTCTCTAGTAATGACAGTCTGCTCGGAGCGAATAAACTCAAAATGTCAGTCGATCATCCGCCCGCACACGCATCTGCTGGAAGTGCCGGGATACCATGCGTTTCACCACGACGGCTGACGGTGGGTATTGGACGGGATTGAGGAGTACGAATCGTCGTCCAGCTGTGGCTGTGAATGAAGCGTAGTGCTTGCAGAGGCCTGCCAGACTGCACACACACACACACACACACACACACACACACACACACACACCAGGCTTTCCATTTCACTCTGCTCGCACCACACTCTAGGCGGAACTTCGGATCGAAGCCGGCATGTTAGACATGCCAACCCGCCGCAGACATGCAGCTTTCGTATTGCCCATCCGACGACCCGTATGCCGCCCACCTCATCTGAGTCTCTCCTGATTGAGAATATGCCAACGCAACCGTCGCAGAAGACGTCATGACAGGTGTCAAGAACCATCATGGTTCTCCCTGGCACGGCGATACTAGTTCCTAGTTGTGCCCACTCGGCCCCAGAAGTCTCTCGAACCTCGCTCAACAATTGCTGCACATGCAGCTGCCGTCTGCAACTATCGGCGGCGTCGACGACCTTGCTAGCGAATGGAACGCCATGGCGATCCTAAGTGACCCCGCAGCGAATCCCCACCACTAGTTGCTGCAAGTCATTCGCCGTGTCTCCTCTCGGCTGCATGCGCCCGTTTCTTTTCAAAACACGAAAACGGGCTAATACCCACAACCCACCGGGGAGGAGAGTGCCCCCCATCACACGCAGGGACACCGGATCTGACCCCTTCTCCAGCTCATCCTCATCCCATCCCCCTCAAGTAACCACCAGACCTGGCCCCGAGGGTGTGATGCGTCATGACACTCGTCAGCTGCGGACATTGCGGTCCAAAAGAGGCTCATTGTAGTAAATTGGAAACGGCAACATCGAAGCAGGTGTGGGCCGCCTAGCTCCACATCGCCATGAGACGGCCGAACCGAAACATGATACTTTTCTACCGACTCATGCTGGCTGGGTGGCTTCGACTGCTTGATTCGCCCACAAGAGTTGGCGGCAAGCTGCACTCCCAAAAAAAGCTACCGCCGTCGCTGAAGAAAAACGCCACAGTATATGCTGCCCAAGTCACATCTCGATTGGGAAGTGTGTCCAAGGACAAGATGTGCCTAGCATGCTACATATGTACATACGGACATAGACGCATGCTATGTCCGTACATGCACTCTGCACTAAACTCACTGACGAGCGTGGCAATTGTCTTTCTTCTGACGACCCCGTCATAGCGTTCGGCTGGGACCGAAGGCAGGTCAGGGTACTGCGGAAACTTGCCAGGAGCCAGCGCTGGGAGCGTGCCCCCTTTGTGCCCGTCGTCCCGCTCCGGCCGCAAAGTAACCAGATCCTCAACACGCAGGGAATCGCCTCGCGCAAAAACACTGCATACTCCAAGATTTAAAAAAAGAAAAGAAAAAGAGGACTATCCTAGATCGTCGGCAGTGTACTCGCCACGCAGGTAGACGCACACATGAAAACTCGTCAGTTAGGCCCAAAGCAGCGCTAGATTGATTGTAAGCCGATTGTGATTGCTACTCGCTTACACGCGTCGTGATTGCGGGGACTGTGCATGCGAGCTTATGACATCTCGAACAGACTTTGGCTGGCCGTTACTTTGCGAGCCTACCAGCCAGGACGGCTGTCGACGTGAGGATCCCTTAGGCCTCGCCATCCCTGACATGTGGCTTGCTGCTGGAAACACTCAACACAGCCTGGTCGATTATCGGCGTGTTATGATCGCCTTTGGTCCTGCCGCACAAGAACGCTCTAGAGCCGCAGCAGCGTGTCCGATTCGACCGGAGCACAAGTGTGGAGAAGTAGCGTCGTCAGGTCACACACGCAAAGCATCGCGGAGATGTAGCACGATATGCTGGGCGTCTGCAAAGTGGGGCAGATAATCGACAAAGGGCGCCTTACTACTCCTAAGTGCCGCGCGCAGTTGCTAGCCGTTCCAGTGCCTGGTGGTGAATTCATCGTGTCTGAGTGGTGACAATCAGCAGCAGATCGAGAAGAGTGCCGAAAGCATGGCCAGCCGAGCTTGGCTGTCAGCAAGTGGTCAATCAAAAGGGTATCGGACGCGTGCAGGGCCTACTAGGGCGTTCACACCACGACCTGCAGCCTGCCCCCTGCTACCGCCGGGTCACCAGCTTCGACGCTGAGAAGCTTGTGCAACCAACGAGGAGGGCGAGGTGGCTAGCAGACGAGCGATGAGATGAAGCCGCTCCAAAGCGATTCATGCACCATTCGATACACAGACTAGCAACATCACGTTTCAATGCTTCATCAGGTTTTGCAGAAAACTCCAGACAATGTAGCGTTCGCGCCAGCGGGATGGACGGGCAAGTCAGCTGCGGCTTTCCAATACAATTGCCAGCTGTGCTCAACACTGTCCTTTGCCTGCCCGGTGCTGGCCTGCGAGCGTCGGTCGAGTCTCTGCTTTAAGTTGATGGCGGCCTAGGGTCATGGATATAGCGGGACTGGTGGATTACTTCTAGGATTATCCTCCATTAACCAGTTTGGAAGCGACTTGGTCCTGCTGCTGCGACGCTACTTTAACACACACTATATCCTCTCGCCTGCCTACCCTACCTTGCTACGTTGCGTTGCGTTGCTGCGTTGCCGCGTTGCCAGGCTCGAGCTGTCCGGCCCTGCACTCTAATACCTAGTCGACATATCCCACCCGTTCGAGCACACACCATCGCCACGCCTTTTATCGCGCCTCCGCACCCTCCCGCGACTCATCTCTTACTTCGGCCCTTTCAACCATCAACATCGACATTGACATCGAAACATCTCCCAGTGAACTGGCTTTGCCCCCCATCCCTGCCTGTCCTGGTCTGTGTTCAGCTCAGCCGTTCATCTCGGAACGACGCTCTTTTGCCGTTAGTTCCTCCCCAACCTTATTGGATGTTCCGCGGCGCCCACGACTCGCTAAAGACGCATTCCCCCCGCTCTCACGCAACCTACCGTGCGATCGCTCGAGGCATCAGAAGCGGACCGCTTGGACCCTCCTACGACACGCTGCCCATCTTCCGCTCCAGCAGTTGCCGCACCGTTCCACAACTAACCTGTGCTTTTGCGAGCCAGCATTGACCGGCGGTAACACAAGATAACTCCTGGTGGCTGCTTTCCTGCATTGCGCCGTGCCGCATCCACACGCACGCACTCCCCCCTCCCCCAGCCTGCCAGTCAGCTAGCCAGCCAGCCAGCGTCTCTTACTTTGCGTAACCATCCGCGCGTAGAAACAACCACACTTCCAATGCATGCTCCCTCCTACCAGTAGTCTCCCAAACGTCTCCGACTCTTGGACCGAATGATCTCAACCAATTCCTTCGGCCCTTCGCCGCCAGGCGCGCACACTCGGATGAGCACGAGCTCATCGCCACAGCCCTCCATGTCTTCCGCTAGCGACTCCCCATTTACCACCCCCAACTACGATTCAAACGTATTCACCATCCCAGATACAACGTCAGAAGAGAGGACAGACGGACGAACAGCATCCCTTGAGGTAGTGCCAAAAGTGGAAGAGACGGAGCTGCAACTGGCCGATGTCAAGGAAGAACCATCTCCGGAAGACGCACCCATCTCCCCAACGGAACCAGTTCGGATAAGACGAGCCCGTGGTCGACCAAGGATACACCCTCCTCGCTCACCAACGACCCTTGCCAAGCAAGCCAAAGCTCGATCAAAGACTGGCTGCACGACATGCCGGAAGCGAAAGAAGAAGTGTGACGAGACCAAGCCATTCTGTAATCGCACACCCAATCCCAACGCCGCCAAGTGTATGCTAACGATGAGTAGGCTTGTCATGTCAAAAGAACAACATTCATTGCGAAGGCTACAAGCCTGTCGAGATTTGGAAGAGCGGAAAAGAGCGCGCCGCAGAAGGTTTGTAGTTCTATCTTACCCCCTTTGCTTTTTTAAAGAGTCAGCCAGGCTAACAATGCAACAGCGCGGAAGCGAAGTCAAGATGTTAAGTTCGAGCTGCCGCCTCTGATGGAGGGCGTTGAGAACGATCTCGACCGCAATCTCCTCCAGCATTTTGTCAGCAGGGCCAGTGCCGTACTCACCTTACACGGCGACAAGTCGACAAACCCTTTTACCAAGATCTTGCTGCCCATGGCCCTCCAGCACGAAGGCTTGATGCACTCAGTATTGTGTCTATCGGCCTCTCACATGTACTCTGTCAACCCATTGCAGGAGTATGAAGACAGGCAGGCTTTCCATCGAGGCAAAGCTCTGCAGCTTCTCAAGCACGATCTCGAACGGCAAAAAGCCGGCGAAGGCGGGGTCATGGTCTATGAAGACTCTAATGTGGCACAGATCCTTCTTCACCTTCTACATTCGATTTGCGACGGCAACACATCGGGCGAATACCGGATGCACATGATTGCGGCAAAGCAGATTGCGATGAACCAGAAGTCCTCCAATCCAGAATTCCAGACGCTCTTCGACGAGTTCTTTTACTACCATTGGATCGCTAGCCAGATCACGTCTCTTGATGGCGCTGAGGTACCGATGATGGACGATTTCAACCTACCTTTCAAGATCAGCCCGGAAACAGCGGGGCTCATCGGGGTATCGGACGGCCTGTTTGGCTTCATTTCCAAGATTAGCAACCTGCGACGGAAGATTCGTGCCCGTATCGATGAGAAGCTTGAGCCCATCATGGACTATGAAGCTCTGCTCTCAGCACATGCTATCGACACTGGTCTGCGTGGATGGGTGTGCCCTCATACACCGGGATCCCCTCGCTACACAATCTCGATGCTGTATCGCCAAGCGACATGGGTCTATCTATATCGCACAACCAAAGATTCAAAGCCTCATCCCTTTATCAAGAGCGCTGTCGATGACGGTATCCGATACATTAACGAACTACCCGCAGAGGGTTGGGTTCAAAGCAATGTTCTCCTGCCCCTCTTTTTGATTGGGTGTGCAGCGTTTGAGGAAGAGCAGCGTGTCGAGATCAACCGAGCTTTCGCCGGACTGATTGCATGCACTGGACTAGGCAACATTGGATTTGCAAAAGAGGTTGTTGATCAAGTTTGGGAACTCATGAGCTCTGATGATCCAGAGGTACAGAAAGAGAGCTGGGACTGGGAGCGTCTGATCAACGCCCGTGGATGGGATTTCCTGGCGACTTGATGTGGGATAGGAGTCGCTGGGACACTTCGCACATGCTTCAGCCAGCCACAAACTGCCTGAGGGGATCGCGATATGCTTGGCGCGTCATTTCCGACTGCTTCTCCTGGATGAGGCCTTCTCACTGTTTTCACAGTGTGGGTCAGGATGATGTAGCCGACGCTGAAGACAGGGTCTGTCGCGGTGCACGGCTCTCATGGCCACGAGAAAGCTGCACCGTGACGCAACACCTCGGCAGCATATTCGGCTCCCAGGGTTTCTTATTCAAACGAGGATTGTAAGGGCGTCAAAAAGGAGTCATGGATTGCTTGGTGGACCGATTGCGTGGTTCTTCGACGGCTTTAACGAGGGTCGGACCGGCAGCGATGGGCTACATGTACGAGCCTCACAACCAGGTTGCATTAGGAGTGGGTCTTTTTTTTTCTCCCCTTTCACACACATACGGCGGTACTGCGTTAGGGTAACGGGGAAAACGGCTTTGTTTTGGTTCAGCACCTTATTTTTGTTCTATTTTTTATTTGTATCTCGCTTTTTCTACCATGAGCGTCGCTTGTTTTGCTTGGCTGCCGTTTAGTTGCAGGATCCTTGCGCATCACAACACTTTGCTTTGGACAGCGTCCATGTAAGGTCGGATGCATGGGTGCATACCAACACGCACACGCACGCACGCACTTACACATACACGCCCGCACACACCTACACACCTACACACATATTTCAAACACACACACATACACATTCACACACACACACACACACCCCAAAGCGTGGCGTTGACGAGGCAAACTCGTACACATGGCATTGCAGCACTTGTTGAATAAGGACCGACTGTAGTTTGCAGGCATTCTGTTTTTTTCGTTCGTTGCGATGACGACACGTATGTATGCATAGGAGGGCAAGGTATATACAGCGCGGCACAGCAACACGCATCCGATATCTCCACTCTTTGCTTGCTGGAATCTGTAACATAGACTTGGGGAGGGAACCCATGGCAGAGCAAGCGATTGACTGATCTACCTCGGTGATTGAAAGTGAGGCACAAGTGCGCATTGCTAAGATGCAGCTGGTCGCTGGGCTGGCTGGCCTGCTTGCTGTCAGGCAGGCTGGTTGGCATGCTTTGGATGCATACTAATGCGTACATGGCTGGCTGCAGGCTCTCACGACCGAACCATGCCACAACCCCCCCGACCTGTCCACCTTGAAGCGGGAACATGGTTCTTTCTTCCTCCAATCCGCGCATGCACCCGCAACCCAACACTCTGGCGGGCATCCTTCGCGCGTTTCGTCGGAACGACGATATTTGGATGCATGGGGAGAGGAGTGGGAATGCGGCCGAGTCAGTAAACCTTGAGGACTGCAGCCACAGACATCTCACAGCGCGCTGGTGCATTTAACCGGCCGAAGAGAGCGGGAGCGTTCCCAGCGACCGCTCCAGAACCCAAAGGTTGGAACAGTAGGCTGCTTCTGTGTTGCTCGCGTACAGTATTACCAGCCTGCTACTGGTACGCAGAGCAGAGCCACGAGACGAGGGACACGAATGCCGACAGGCAGATCGGCCCAAGGTACCAGGGTCAATCTCCGGCAATGCGTGGGGGGAGTGCGCCACTCGGTCTCATGTCCAGTCACAGTAATTGGGCGTGGGCCGGCCTGAGAGGCGCTTACTGGAGGCCTACTCCTACGGTTGCGCTCTTGTCCGGTCCCCAGGTGGTGCAGGCCCCTCGAGTACCGCCGCTTCACCTTCCTAGCGGGCAAGGATGACGGCATGCCCAATACCAGCAACACGAAGTATCATAATCAGCATACAGGCATCAATCGGCCCTTTTGGCCTTTGATGACCCCAGATTGCATCTGACTGGCCAAGTCCCCGCCTCTTCACCCTTTCCCCCCCACGCTTGTCAGGCAGGGTTTGTGTCGTATACTCCATACCATGCGATTGTTGGACATGATGTAACTTGACTCAAGGGACCTACTATTTTCCATTGTCCAGTGTACCTGGCACTAAGTATGAAAATGGCGTTTTCGCAGGAACCCGACCACAAGCATCCTTCGTGTTATGTGCAACGTTGCAGCCATAAGGTACATGTGCGCAACGGTTCATGGGAGGGGGGGGGCATGGTACAAGGGTCATGGATGACGTTCGCCCGAGAGCAAGCCTTAGTATGGGCCTGCCACAACGTCCTTTCGCAGCTTGGTACATGTTGCAATGCATGCACACCAAGCTGAGCCGCTGTTGCTCTTCCAATCTCGTCTTCAATCTCCGCGAGCCCGGGAGCTTATTCCGGGAAGAGCAGTGGACATACATACACTATCATCAGGGCGATAACAACATCAAGGCAAGCAATCACCGTCTGTCACCATCGGAAGGGGGCCTCAATTTCTCTCTCCACAAGCCGACCAGATCGCCCCGTTATCCGTTACCTCGCATTCGCAATCGACAAATCAAGGGTTCTCTTCTCCACGACCCGTTCACAGCGGATCCACTCGTCACGCCAACTTGGGACTGACACAGGCAAGACCCGTTGATGCTTCTCAATAAAGTATCCCGCCGCACGTGCAATTCCCCTTCACCCGGGTCTGGACACTTTAACCCGCCTATGTCACGCATATTATCATTATCAAAATGGCAAGACTGATTACCGTGCACGCACATTTCAAAGCATTCAGGCGATCCTCCGAACGCCTTGGCCTGGAAATTATTTTATCAACTTTTATTTTTATTCTGGTTCGCCGCATAACCGTTTACTAAGCGCACGGTGCCTGCATATCGTCGACCGATCATTATTTTTTTTTCCTTCGCCCCATTATGCATAGACCACCTTTGTCATGGGCAATTAAGAGCAGGAATAGAAAGAAAAGACAAAAAGAATTCTCCGTCGTACAAGGTACATGACCAGAATGGTGGGATGCCGTTCCCAGACTCTGGGGAATGAGGACCGTCATCAATTGTGCATTGTCTCTGCCTGAGAGG